AGAGATGCGAAATCAGAGGTCACTACAGTGTGTTAGCCTACGTAAAAAGCATTTTACTGGGTGACTTGACAGTATACCGTTTTCAGTTTCACTCTGTACAACAATGTCGCTCTCATCTGGAGCTGCAAGGCGGCACAAAGCAAAAAGACACAAACACATTTGAGTATAATGAAATGCTTGTAGAGGAAAAGGGATCTTTAAAAGAAGCGTGTGAGGTCGGCTGTGTGTCCTGTACCACGTGGAAAGCTATCCGTGAGCAGATTAGCAAAAGTATTGTACACATCTCTGTCCCAACTACATCATACAAGTCCTCTACCACCATCACCAGCATATGTGGTATTAGTGACAGCAGAAGATGGCTGACTTTAGAAGTGTGCAGTGGTGGACAAGAAACTATATCCACTTCACAACAGACAGGATTGGGCATGAAAGCGAAGTAATGTGCTATTACTGACAAAACTGAATCAAACACATAGAAGCGTTACTGTCGTGTTTCCCCAGACCACTGTTAGCTGATAAAGCAAAATAACCACGCATTTCTCCGTTAGTCTTTTACTAGCTCAGTGTCTGTGACAGAATGCCTGAGCACGTTGGTGAACAACATGCAAGAGAAGATTAAGATCAAATCATCATGCAGGTGCAACAAGCATCTAGCCTAAAAACCTATGTGAAACTATGTCTCTAAGTTTGAATGTTCTTACGATGTCACTCTTTTTGGTTCGACTTTGGTTTCAGTAAAGCTGATGATGTTGGCCAGCTTGTCCCTGCAATTTTTCAAGTCTAATATGAAAAGTAGGAAGAGTTATGGTTGTAGTGGCAGCCTTACTGTTCTTCTCCTCTTTGCATCTCTGCAGGATCTCTAAGCTTCTCTGATGCACAGGATGCTGTAGAAAGCTAAAACTATCCACACTTTTCAAAACTGCACAGGAAGCAGCGTCATCATGCCCTTGGAAAAGCAAAACAAAAGAAAAACAGAAAAGAGAAAAACAGACAAGGACAGGGAAGAGGAAGAGAGAAAGAGAAATGAAAGATTAGACAGCAAAGATGATGAGATCAAGAGATGCAGTCATCTACTGGAGAGACACCTGTGCAAGACACCTGGAGAGAAGATGATTGACATTCACAACTGCAGTTCTTGCCAGGAGTAGCTTGTTTGACATTGTAGTTTTGTGTGTAGGTGTTTGCCTTCCAAAGGCACTTCTATACAGTGTCTTCCATAAAAACGGTCATTCTGCAGAAATGTTTTAAGAAGACATGCAACAGGTTCTTTTGAGTTCAGCTGGAAGGATCTAAGAGATATAGTAAGGCTAAGCAAAGAATACTAGATTTCTAGAAAATCTATTTTCACATAACGTTTAGGTGCACTGTAAACTTAATATGTCGGAAGGCTCAAGAGGATGCAGAGTGCAAGTCTGATTTATATGGTGGCAGTGCTGAGAGAACTTCTAATGGTAATTTCTACTGTATATCAAGTAGAGCAAGAGTAAAATCTAAAAGAAAAGAAAGCATTCATAAAAAGGTAACTGTGAAAGACAACGAGCAACAGCTAGTGTAAACATATGGGAGCAATACTAGCACTCTACACACATACACTACTACAGAACAACATTATGGACTATACTTACAATGAACTATAATGAACAAAGAAGACAAAATCATTGTGCATGTGCACTGACAGTATTGTAGCTACGTGGCAAGTAAATTGGAAAAAAATGTTTATTGGCGGAACAGAGCTCTTTCATTTTTCATTCATGCTTATAAACCTTCTTCCTCCAAGCTGTTTCAGAGGTGGCAAACACTCTGTCTGCACAAAACCAATAAACACCAACCTTCAAAAACACAGCAATAGGAGGCAAGTAATCAGATAAGCATGACTCCCTTCTCTAGATTTGGAAGTCTGCTAGTTTACAACTATTCTTGCTGTACTAAAAAGTGCATGCAACACCCGTGTGCCATTCAGTAAAGACAACATCTTTTCTTCTCTTTGTGGTTTTGACACAGCCTGAGTTCTACACTAACTACAGTAAGCACAGATTTCCATCATTTTGAATATTTATTCAGGAAAAACTATATAGCTGCAAAATGCAGTACATAAATAGCATGAGCGTCTAAGTCAGTAGGCATTTACCGATTACATATAAATATTGTATAAGCTTTCCTTGACTTTCCCAGTTCAGATAAGATTCCTTTGTCGATCTTTTACATCTGTCTCTAGTCACAGTGTACTCTACCTCGGTGTTATAATGTGCATGTCAGTAAGCTTTCTCTTAGTGTGGCTGCTCACCAGTCTTCCTCTGCATGCGTCTCTTCCCAGCCTCTCTGAAAGCCACAAGGGCTCTGAAGTAGGCTCGGAGCACCGCCCAGCGGAAAGTGGCTGAGGGATCGATGCCAATCAGCCCACAGATGAAGGCGTTCTTGCTGCTCTTTAGCAGAGCTACGATGTCTGGGCGCATGTGGTCTGTGTTCTTCTCTCTGAAATCCTGTGAGAGACATACAATGGTTTTGTTTGTTAATTTTTACTGGATCCCTGTTGCTTTTCTGGAAAATTGATGTGTGTCAAGATAATGCTAGTGTACAGAACTTCACAATGAGAAAAGCCACAGACTTCACAGACCCTTTTAAGGAATTATAATCCATAAAACTAGTTAATCATTGACTAGGTTTGGAAGTGAAGATTACACTGACCTTAACACCATACTTGACTTTGCCAGCATAGTGTCGGATAATGAAGGCAGGCTCCATGACAGCAGGGAACTCGATGTAGCTGTTCCCCTCGTGCTGCCGCTTGAACTTATCCAACAAAGTCTGGTTGGTGGCCTGAGGGAAACTGAAACGAGGGGGCAGAATGGAAATTCTAACCTGTTTTTAACCTGATCTGTTCATCCACACATCCCATAATGAATTGAATGCATTTCTTTTTCTACCAGTCTCTAATCCAAAAGTACCAACAGCTAACTGTATATATAGCGGGCCACTGAAAACGTGGCAAGTTATCATACTGCAATCTGATCTGTAACCAGTTTTGACATTTTATTCTCTGACGCCACAAGGATTATCATTTAAACTCAGATTTCCCTTCTGTCTTTTAATAGCAATTCCACAGAAAATCTACATCTTACAGTAAGAAAAGAGGGGAAGAATGAGAGCCAGGGGTTTTGGAAGGGGTGAAATCTGAGCTAACAACACAGGCAAAGACTTGGTGCCTTCCAGCTTTTCCAGCTCGGAGGAATTTGATTCAGTGTCCAAATGGAGAAGAGGGTGAATTAAAGACGGAAATATTTTTAGTAAAAATAGTCATAGTACAGTCATGAAGCTGATAGGATAAAATTTTGTCTGCAATTTAGATGATTTACAGTTCCAGGCAAGTCCATCTTACATGATACCATCATGTAATGTGATTACATTTCAGAGACTGTATTAGCAAAAACAAATGAACAGTTAACATTATTCACATTTATTTATCGTTTGAAATGTGATAATGTTTCCATAATGTGCAGGGACAGTCACAATCTTGCACAACATAGAGCTGTGCTCATTACTAACATACAGATGTTTATGGTACAATACAAAGACAGACAGGAGTCAAGGGAGAGAGTGAGAGACAGGGGTTTGAAAGGGAACAGCAGTGCCTGGTTGGAACAGAATGGGGACAACTGCCAGTTTTACTTTAACCTTTGAGACACACTTGGTTTACCACACAGGAAATGACAATTACTTCCCAAAGACATGAACTTGTCCAACAAGTAGCCAAACACTCACTTGCACTCTTCATCCAGTAGGTGGAACAGCGCTGTGGGCTTCTTACTGATCAGGTTGATGCAGCCTGTATTGTCGATGTAGTCGATATTTCGCCAGCTGATGCCCTCTGCCCTATATTCTTCCTGCAGCGACACAGAATACAAAGAGAGACCTCAGTGCTACTTTCTGGAACACTATGTTTCCAAACGTGATGTACAGTGGGGACTGTAGACTGTTTCTTTTCATTTCTTATGTTGCAATAAAGAGACCATGTCTGCAGCTCCTATTGTATCAAATTAACACTGTCCTATTTCATTATATCTATATGTAACATTACAACAATTACACTGATATTCTGTTTTTATGCTTTCAAGCAGCTGGCAAACAGAGAAAGAGTTCTAAAGTCTGAAATTCAGTTCAGATGTGACGGCATGCAGTGCATTTGGCATTATTATCTCCAGGCACCATTAAAATTAAATATCAACATGCCATCAAGAAAAGACAGTCAGTCAAATGTGTGTCAGAGTGCTGTAATTTTGCAGTCACAGTAACAATGCTGCTGGTATGCATGCTTTAATACTGGCAGATCTTGTCTGGCCTCAAGGTGGTTTAATAAGGAGACAAGCATTCAGAGCATTTATTAGTGCTCTTCCTCACAGATGTTATTCCCCTATGTCCCTGGGAAAGAGATTTAACAAATAAAGACTTTAATCCAGGGGAAGTTTAATAAAAATCATTTCAATCTCCTTTTCTGGTCTCTTCCTGTTAGCCCAAAGTCAAAAGAAAAACAAATTTAAGTTAATTACTGCTGCATATGCTGCTTTCTGTGCTGAGGACAAAAGAAAAAACTAACAGAAGTATAATCTGGAAGGAAAGACGATCATCTTCTTCAGCATCTTGTACAGTAAAACCAAACGTACTCAGAGTGCTGATTTGAGAATAGCTGATCAATTTCTGCACCAAAAAAATGTATAAACATTTTATTAACACTGAAACACTTTGAGAGCATTATTAGCAACATTAGCACAAGAAGACAACAGCCATAAAATCATCTGCAGACTCAGTAATGCCATTTCCTGTGCACAGCAACACATTTTTAAGGCTGCCAACATTAGCTACTATAAGCTAATTGAGTGAGGCTAAAGCAGCAAAATACTGTATCTGTGTGGACTAATGCATTTTATCTTCTTTCAAAAGCACATAACCTCACTTTGAAATCAACAATCCTAGGAAATTTAGTCTTTAGCTCAAATTGAGCAAAATAACATACTGGATACAGTCCTTGCCAGTCACACACCGTTTTAACATTCTGCTCTTACTTGACTGTTGATTTCTAAAAATCATCAGTTAAAGAAGGACAAAACAAAGTATGAACTAAGGCATAAGTGGATCATTTTTAAATCTGATAATGCTTTACCATGGTCACTGTTATTGTTATTACTCCTGCAAACTGCTGTTTAATGTCAGGCTGCAGAGCAAATTTAACAAAGTTAAAGCTGTGGACGTTTCATGTTTTCATAATCTCAACGAGTCAGGGTGACATGATAATTGTCTTTGACCGAAGACAGGCTTTTACTTGTGTCTTATAATAAGACACTTGCCTGGAAACTATAAAATGAACACCTGTGCTATATATTCCAATACAACAGCTGTGGAATAAACGTCTGTGAAGCTTAAGCATGTAATACTCAATTTGTGTGTCAGAAGGCTGCTGACTCAACAACTTGGTAATCACTGAGCTGGCTGTGGTTTGTGGGGGTGTTGTATTGGATTACAATACTGTATTCCGTACAGGATACTGTAACCACCCCCTCGGCATGACTTTAAATCATGTTCCTATAACTGCTGTGATTCATTCTTAGTTTGACTCAACTGACGATAAATAACTAAACCGCAACACATCTCTAAAATGTGCAGTATCAGCCTCTCCACAGACCGTTTTCATATTGTTTTCAGTGTGTATTAAAAACTTGGACTTCCACTGTTAAGCTTTATTGGTGCTTCAAGAATTGTTCTTTTATGTGGGAAGAGCTGGAAAAAGACAGTTTTTACTGATTAAAATTAATGGCCATTCTCTGTTTCTGCTGCTTTAGAGTACAGGCCTTTGTCTGTGAGTAAACAACACCTGGAAGCATCAGAACCTGTCCTTTAACAACCTGTAACATGGAGGGTTTTAAATGGATTCTCCTGTTGAAATCTTAAATAATGACCATCGTCCTGAGTGTAAGTAGTGCTTGACAGTGAAGCCACTATAAATGTACACATCAGTTTCACAATTTAACATTAGAGGGCAAAACCTACTGTTAAATTTTAGCATCTGACACTGTACAAGCAACGAATGACGGAACAATGAATGGCATCTTTGCTCACATGCTACTGTACATGTGTTCATTTATTTTTTCCACTGTTAATTAAAACTATATGGAAAAACTGCTGGTCTGGTTATCCTTATTTTACGAGGTAAACTGTTTTAATGCGCTGATCAGCAAAGAATCCAATTAAAAACTGTTCTTTCATAGTGTTTAAAATGATTTTATTTTCTTTGTGCATAAGCAATGAAAACTGAGATAATACATTTATTATGGTGATGGGAAAGTAGTAACATCATATGGATTACATAAGTGCACGTCTGAAAGCAGTTATTTTTAAAAGATCTTAATAAATTATTCAAGAAAACAAAAGATAGTAAGTGCTCTAATGTGTGTTTGTGTATGTGTGTTATCTTTGGGTATTCCAGGATTTTTTTTTCAAGAACAGAGGCATTTATGGTGTGTAGCAGGCTTAGCTGAGCACTGACAGGAAGACAGGCTAAATCTACCACTAATCATGTGTTACCACTAACATCTACCTTTCCTTCACAGAAACTTTCCTTCTCACCATCATGGCAACAGATTTAAATTGCTGCTGACTGCCTTACCAACTTAGATCAGCAAAATTCAACCTCAAGTCAAACAGGCAATTACTAAATTGTAACTTCATTTAACATTAGTGCCAAACCACTTATACAACAAATTAACTCAGCCTGGCTGACTCATTTTCAGAGGGTTTCAGGTTGCCTCAGTGTTGGACATCGATTTTTCCGCACACAACTACTGTGTTTTCACATACGCGCAATATTGTAACTGTGCCATTATGAATTCCTGAGTTTTTGGTACAGTTTTAATTAACTTTTCTAATATCAAACCTAATGTTCTTTAAACAAAGTTTACAAGTTGGGAAAACAAAAATGTTTATTCTATTATTATACTCTTTGAATTACAGGATGCCTATAAAAATAATGTGCCCTCAAACAGCCGTGCAGTTTGAAACATGAGCAATCAAAAGTACAAAACATTTACTGATAGTTTCACAGGCCTGTTCACATGCAGGGTAACTGTGTAAACCAGTGTGTCAGGGCGGGTTGTGTGTACTGTACGTAGCTACATCCTTGCAAAGCTGAGAACACAAACAACAAACCTTATGTACAGAGCAAAGTCTCTGGAATCTAATAAATAAAGAATGGCCTCCTGTGGACAGACAGGACATTATGTTAAAAGCAGGTGAACACAACCTCTGCAGAAAATAAAACTGAGTACTTTATTGTTTAAATGGCCAATTACTCCCGCTTAAGTTCTTATTTTCAGTTCCTTTGAGTTACTTAATGTGACTAATTTGAAAAGCTGAAGCCTTATATCGTCTTTGTAATCCATTTTGCACAGAGGGAGGACTGTTGTTTTCATCCACCATCACTAACATTCCAAGTATGTCAGGAAGAATGGTTACAGCAACAAAAATATGTATTAAGTTAATATGCATTCCTGACTACTCTTATAAAGACACACGTGAAAAACTGTGAACCTGCTGTATCCTCTCAACTTTAGACTTTGAAGTCTCTCCTCATGACGTATAGGTCTTGATATATTTATGGTGTTGAACCAAGACAACTGCATTTTAGAAAACACTGCACAATGTGATGAAGTGTTTCTTCATTGTTTTTGTGTCATAGTATGCATGGCTGCTGTGTTGAGTGATAAAGAGGAGGGATTTCCTTGGAAATGGTCACAGCCAAAGAACATAGTGTTTACATCTACAGTACAATACAGCAGGAGCTGATCTGTGCCAGAACAAGCTGGATCTAGGACCTCTTAAGCTGTGACCAACAAATTTATTTTGACAAACCCAGCACATCATTTACATGTGAAAGAAAAGGGCTAGCCCATATGAAAAATATAGGAAGAGACTAAAGTCTAATACCTTTTGTACAACTAGCCTTTTACAACAACACACTGGAATAAAATTGCAAAAATGAAATGCATTATGCAATGGAAACAGACCGTGACTAATTATGTCACAATGTAACCTGCATTACACTGGTCACACTCTGTGCACATCCAGTGTAATGTTAGCAGCAAAGAAGCAAAACTGCAAAAATGACAAACTGCATTAACTGAAGGTAAGAACCTGTTTATTTAACGCTGCTGCATTATCTAGTCTCCGGTGTGCTTAAAATTTGTTTCTGTAATATTCTGAATGTAATGTTAATGTGGCGCGGAGCCTCCAAATATTAGGATGAAGGCCATAGCCTCACAATCCTTGTGTTCTACATTTACTGTATAACTCGCTCTTACAAATGCATGTTTTCTTGTGTGATCTATTGGTTGCTACAAACACATAAATAATGTTTTACCTCTAAGTTGCTCCTTTAAATTGGAAACTACTCAAACAGACCAGTCATTGAAGGAATTTTTTCCTTCGGGGACCTCCTCTCCCCACACTGTCACGCCAGGTCCACCATCAAGTGATGTTCTGGGACCTCCTAAACTACGCACTGCAACACAGTACGTTAAAATAATAGCTGCAGTACTACAGTAGCACAGAAGTGCAGTTCTCAGTCGAAGCTTTAAATAAGAAGCCAGTTTCTAAGAATTGTCAATCTTAAAAAAAACATCCTGCAGAAGAATATTTAAGAGGCATTTTACCTGCTCAAGCTTGAAGGTGTGCTGGTTGAAGTAGTGTTGGAGACGTTCATTTGCAAAGTTGATACAGAACTGCTCGAAGCTATTGCTCTCATAGTCCTCAAAACCAAAAATGTCAAGCACTCCGATAGACAAGATCTGAGGGAGACAACCAAACACAATGCAAAAACATTTGACCTTTCATCCCAAAATGTTGCCTAAACCATATTTAAAGGGTTTATTGAAATTTACTAATCAGTACTGTAAAGTCTTAGACTTACTGTAAGAGTTGACAATGTTGTTGACTCTTAATGATTTAATGAAGTAAAGGTACTGTAATTGTTTTCTAACTAAAATTTAATAAAATATTTGAAATAAATATTTATTTATTAAAATAAAGTAATACTAAAACATATTATGCAACATTATTTTAAAAGATGTCTAGATTTCACATATTTCACATCTCATATTTTGGGTTGTCCTACCTTGGTGATCTCCTCTAGGTCCTTGATGTTGAGCAGAGCGTGATTGATCCTGAAGACAATCCAGTCAAACAGAGCACTGTACAGAGACTTCGCCATGGAATCTCGCACTGTACCAGCCTGGAGGAAGACATATCCAGTATCTCTTTACTGTTAGCTTTTAAGCAGCTCCAGCTGCTTGGTAATATCTCAACATTTGACAGATTAGTAAGTGAGAAGTATGAGTACGACTGTTTCTATGTATAGAATTTAAAAAAGAGGTTTGATCCGAGTCTTCTCCCAGGCCTGAAAAAGTCTGAAGTCCAAACCTAATAAATATAGTAAATGTACAGGAAAGTGCTGCAACACAGTATGTCCCTTAACTGGATCTGTTGTTTTAACATGCACCCTTGTCTTTCTCATCTGCATTTCACTATGCTTGTTATCTATGTTAACTGTATTTATATTAATCTACCTCTGAGGAGCATTTTACACTGTTCATGATAAAGGGATACCTTCATCATGTGTATTTGTACAGTGCTAGAAGTTTTAAGAGTCAGGCAGACATCATTCCTTTGCCGCCTCCTAAAGCTGTCCAATGTGACCGATGTGAAAAGCAATGAATGAAAGCATGTACAGTAAATATACAGAATAAAATGGATTCATATCAAGGTCAAAATGTGAAACTCACATCTCAGAAAACACTGTCCCGAGTCTGAAAACCTTTGTTCAAAAAGGAATCAAGATGTGCAGACAGTATTTCTACTTTACAAATCAGCCATTTATAGTTTGACCCAAGTATAAATCACATCCTCCCTTTTCTGTCAGCAGCCACTGTACTCAAATCTCTGTTGATGTATAAAGCAAACAGCCAGGAGAAAACAACCAGCCCTACTATACCAACACCTGTGCCACTTATAATCTCAACTGAAACTTTTGACACAAGACAACATCACAGACATGCTGGGAGACAACCTATTGGTTTTAATGTCCTAAACATAAACGGTTTGTGTAAATGAGTCCATGAGGCTGTGCTGCTGAGAACTAACATTAAATATGTGGAAGACATAAATATTGTGTTCTTAAGTCACATTGTTGACTATCAAATTCATAAACTTTATGCTGCCCATTATGTAAAACCTGGGGTAGACTGTGAAAGAATCAGGAGTTGGATCAATGTTAAATGATCTTTCATAAACAAAGAAAAGCCTCCTTGTCGAATTACTGAAAAAAATGTTCTAATTTCTCTGTTCGCTGGAAAGGTTTGACCTTGCAGCAGCAAAGTTGAGCTAACAAAACAACCCACAGAGTCGCTACCCAGCGACTGTTATTTCTAAATAATTAACTTGAATATTTTTTGCCGCCTCAGACCAAATATGCCTTCTATGAGTCAGAACAGATATTATTTTGTACCCCATACATACTGTGCTCCAAGGACCCATAAGCTTTTCATTATTTGGAGGAAGTTGGACTTAAAACACCACCACGAGGGACACATTCTCATAGCTTTGATGTGAAATGGAGAAAGCTCATTACAGATGCTCATATTTTTTGAGGTTTTAAAATGCATGATCTAACAAGCAACGAGAATGTTGGGACTGTTAGAGCAACATTTACACAGGGACGACCCAGTGTGTTACTCAAACAATCACTGTTTGCTCATATGAAATGACACCTAAACATCGAACAGACAGTTATGGGATTGTTGCTGTTTTCATGTCAGTGTGTAATATGCCACCATCTTTTGGGAGAATTTGTGGTAAAATACTGCTGAGACAGCTTTGATGGATGATTACTGTAAGAAGTGGAAAATAAGAAAGCCATCTGAGCTAACTTACAGGATATGTGCAAGAAAAGACACCATTTAAACCACTGGAATATCAAATCAAATATTTAGGCATCATGATGAGTTTCCAACTGAACAAAACTGTGCCTTACTGTATCTGCATGTGCAACAGTTTCTTCATTCAAACCAACAGGCATGTTAGACTGTGTACCCATGTTGTTCCCTCTTCTCTTTAAGATGGCTATTGTCTACAGACCATGATGTGTGTTTGTTTTCAGAGAAAGAAAACTGTAGAGAGGCCTGAAATGAGCTCCCGTCTCTCTAATCAGATTGAAGGACTGTGTGAATGTGTGTTGGTGTGATTGTGTGTGTTCATGTGAGGTCACACACAAAAAAAAACTGCAGCGAGAGAGAGAAACAGGGAGGAAGTCTGGTACTAGTGCATACTGTCCTGTACACACAGCTGGGTCAGGCTGACGTGCCACAACCACAACACAGTCACTAAGTTGGCAAAGTGCCTCTAGTCACATTACTCAGTGAGACTATTTCTAAGAAACTACCCAAAACATACTGTACAGGAAGTATATGCTCATGCAGTACCTGTGTAGTACCTGTACAGTACCTGCATTACATTAATTTCATATTATACTGTTTTTGAAGTCAGTGCGCAAGAAATGAACATATTTAACACATTTATTTCATACTAACAAGAAGTGATACAAGATGTGTAACTGGACCTCAACACTGTGACTTCTGAATGCCACGAAATTAAACTTAAAGAGACCATAAAACAGCTGCACTTTACAATTTACCGCCCCTAAGTCTCTGAACTCTACTGGAGGGACAAACACCATTCTTCCAAAGATACTCCCTCATTTGGTGTTTCGATGATGGTGGTGGAGACGACGCTTAACACTTCGCTCCAACATCTCCCACAAGTGTTAAACTGGGTTGAGATATGATTAATATTATTCTCATACTCATCAAAACCTTCGGCGAACTCTCTTGCCCTGCGGAACCGGAACAGGGCACCGTCATCCTGGAAGAGACCACTCCCATCATGTTAGATGATCTTTATCATAGGATAAAGGTGACCACCCAGAATAACTTTGTGTTATGCAGTGACGTTTCCTTCTAAGGGGACATGTGGACCCAAACCATGCCAGCAAAATGTCGCCACAGTATAACAGGGCCACTGGATCCTTTCAACGTAAGTATTCAGGTTTTTTCTTTCTTTTGTCACCTGAAATAAATCTGTCATGAAAACGACCAAAACAGTTCAAACTTTGGCAGAAAGTCCTGTGGTCATGTAAAACCTCATCACTCAGTCAGAGGTTGCTAAAGGAGAAAAGGGAGGAATTTCACCACAGGTGAACACCATAATATGTGGCCGTGCTGTATTTACTGTACAGTTATATTCATTTATCGCTGGTACTGCCAGAAAACAGCTACAGTCTCACCTCAGCAAGTCTGTAGGGGACGATCAGCTTTTCTCCCACAGTAACTGTTTTCCGTGTTGTCAGAGCTTCAAACAGCATCTCTTCTTTGACCTAGTCATGACAAGGAGACAGACAGTAAATCAGTTGGTTTAAAAAAACTGCCACTTTCTCTCCAAGCTGACTTTCATCTTAGACAGGTGACAGTTTAAATTAGTGCTTTAATTTATTTATTTATTTATTTTAAGAAACCCTGGTCTCTCTCAGGAGAAACACCTTCTCCTCGTCTGTCTGCATTTCAAACATGATAATTTGCACAAACTCATACAGTATATTAATTTGTAAAGCCCAGTGTGTATTTATCAACTAGTACAGGCTCCAAAGGAGATTTAAGTCAACTTAAGTTCAGCTGGAGGAGAATAAATATACAGTACGTCTCCAACCTTCACAACCCCAACAAAGACAACTTGTACTGTATGTGTGATTGATACAGAATCAACCTTGCTTAGTGTACTTCATGTTACTGGGACCTCAATTAGCTCAACAAGCTTCAACTACAATTTAAACAGAAGCATTTTACACAACCAGCATTTTAAATCAAATGCCCTTGTTTTATCTTAGGTTGTCATATTTTGTAATTGTGAAATTCTGAAAAGTCTGACTTTTATTTTGTGTGGTTTGGCAATACAAACAAACAAGAAACACACTCAGTGCAGGCATATTAGACTTTGATAGCATTTAAATCTGAACACACTAACAATGTGCAGTAATAGCGGCTCCCAGTAGCTCTATTACCTCCAGCAGCTCTGAGACGACAGGCAGCACCTCTGGGTTACAGATGTCTATTGAGTCATCCCTATAGGTTTTCCTCTTGTAGCGGATGTTGCCCAGGTGAAGGATGGCCGACAGCAGGGAAAAGATCCTAAACAACATTTTAGTGTTTAGGAGATACCACACTAAAAAAAAAAACATACTGTGGAACTGTCTGTAGTTGTAGTTCATCTCAGTCCATGAAATCCTTAGACTTTTCTTTTTTTAGCACAGATTTAATTGAAATTCTGATAAAATTTTAATCCAGTACAGGCAGCAATGATAATTTGAAACTGTGGCAGCCAATCAGGCTGGCGTGCACAGTATAAGACCTGGAGTGTAACAGCATTATCTTCTCAAACACTCATTGTCAGTGCGTATATGTGTCACTCACTGCTTGCGTGTGGCAGGAAGAAAGCCCACCATCTCCATGGCCAGCTGAAGCCTCTCAAAGTCATGCTTCAGGTCCTCTCCTTCTACAGTGAAGCAGTCCTGCAAAAAAGCAGCAACAGGGTGTTATCAGGCACACAGCAGCTGCTATGACACTGCAGGCTTGAAGCCAAAAGGCCTTACGACAAGTGGCTGTGAAGTTTAGAAGGACTTGCTAAGGACTACTGGCATGCACAATGCCCAAATCTTTTTATTGTTTAAAGAGTGTCTAGCAAAGACACCTAAAATAGCTTTTTAGTTTACACTGCAGCTGAAACTGAAAACACCAGAGTGGCACGACGCAGACAAAATGAATAACTTGTAGTGAAATAAACTATCATTAAGAAGCTCGGGAGTCAAACAAAGCAGCAACACTTCAGTCTGATGTCCAGTGTGTTTAGCGAATAGCAGCATGTGCAGGCTCTGCTCACGTAGTGGCAAATCTGGCCTGGGTGCCCTTTAAACCAAACTGCAGTCATTTAGCACAGTGGCAAACGAGCTGAGAAGAGCAGCAATTTACGGGGTTTCCTGTGTTTCAGCAATGGACGCCAAACTAAACTAGGAGAGATGACATGCAATAACAGTGATGTCTGCAGACAGGCCGTTGTACAGTGTGCACAAAAACAAGTGCACATTTTACAGAGTACATGTAGAACACTACAGACAGAATCACAAGTAAAAGTTCTGGAAAAACAATTAAAGTAGCTTTAAAACATTAAAATACTACATATTACTGTAAGTAATATTTGGGGTGGCTGTGTCTCAGGGGTAGAGTGGGTCAACCTCTAATCTCAGGGCTGGTAGCTCGATCCCCCCTCTGCCCAGTCCACATGTCGAAGTGTCCTTGGGCAAGACAATGAACCCCAAGTTGCTCCCGATGGCCAGGCCAGCGCCTTGCACAGCAGCTCTGCCGCCATCGGTGTGAATGTGAATGCAGTAGGTGAATGGTTGGCAGCAATTATAAAGCACTTTGTCTTGTAAGGCAGAAAAGCGCTGTAAGTGCAGTCCGTTTACCATTTCATTATTTAGGAGCCATGTGCACATGAAAAGGAGTAAACTTGTGATTAAATCTGAATCGGGTTAAGCTGCTAGTGACAAGAGGATGAGCCTCTTTTATACAAGAAACAAGCTTTTATGTAACAGGTTTTACTACAAACACCAACTATAATGTGAGTGAGCTCTGCTCTTTTCTTTTTGGGCACATTCCACTATGGCTGCCATAATTATCACATACCCAGAAAGACAAACACTGTATGCCTCCTTTTCGATTCCCTCACTTGTGGCAGAAACTCACACTGACTAGCTACTGACTTTGGGGTTACTTTTCCATATCAGGAAAATCTACATATATTTAAAATAAGTTTTAACAATGTCATTTTAATCTGCCAGTCTAGCAAAAAGGTGTTGAAAGATTCCAGATGTTGTACATGTTTCAGAAATGAAACATCATTAAAAAAAAAAAAAAAACATCAAAAATGAAAGTTTGGAATGTTTCCTTTGCTGACATGTCTGGATAGTTCATTTTCCTTGATGTGTTGGAAATAAAGCCACATTTAGAAAGTTGACTTACCTATTTCCTTACTTCCTTTTTAAATTAAACATAATAAAGACCAGTGCTGCAAGGCTAATCCCCCTCACTCCATTGTAACAGTAGTTTCTTTTCATGAATGTCAGAATTTATACATTTATACTGCATTATGCATCTCAGTATTATCACTATTCACAAATAAAGTTAATATAAGACACTTTAAGACTTTTAAATACAGGTGATAATAAACAGAAACCTTAATGCCCACCACAAGACCAAACAATCCCAAAACAAAGACTTTTCTGATCATTGATATCGTACAGTCCCAGGACTTCTGCAGAGGACTAAATGTATTTGACTCCAATCCAGTGACTAAGAGGTCAGGGTGTGTCTTTGAGCAAATCATTTAGGACAACCAGAGGTACACGTATGAGCCTGTGAGTATTCTGTAGCTCAGTGACCAGCTACTGTAGGTGGTGAACAATGGAGCATGTTTAAGACTAAAACTCAAACACTGCTGCAGCCACATCTTGTGGCCACAGTGCCCCATGTTCTAATCCAGCAACTTGTAATAAAGACAACGCACTTTTAAGTTTAATCATGACTGTTGTCTTCTAGACCCTCGAGAAATAACCATCTCAACATTTTAGCTATGGTTATAACTAGTACCTGTTTTTCTTACTATGTGCTGGGTCCCTAACTTAGAGTAACTGAAACATAACACATGCATTTTGATAGGAAAGTATTCTGTTGTACAAAAAGGAAAGTATGACTGGCTTTAAATGGAAATAAATCTGGGTTTGGGAACCAGGTTTGTTTAACACAAGCATTCGCTCTCAGTTGAACCTCTTGGACCTGAGGGATGAATATGATTGGTCCAATGATCAGAGGCAGCCTCAAACCATTTTGGTTCACACTAGTTAGACTGACTCTGAATCCATCTATTAGTAAACCATGAGCCAAAACAGTGCTCGTGGGGTTCCCTCCCATGCATGTTCATGTCATACTGACTGAATACAGTTAGAGCTATGGGTTGGTTTCTTTTACAGACATTTCGACTCATCAGGACAAGCACAGGCGTTACTAGTAGCTATTACGACAGCTCCATTGTGTGTACATGTCCCAATAAACCAGTGTGACAGTGAGCCAGCATGAATAACTGGATCCTGAAACTGAGGCAACTACTCCAAATGAAATTCAGCTTTTATTTATTCTTAATTTGCACCTGTGCTTTTCCTACTGTGACCAGGAAAAATGAAGAAGTCCTACTGTTTGATGAAGTTTCATGAACTTTACTTGAACCATGCAGAATGTAGAGTGGCCCTTGTTAATGTAGCCACAGAGCATTCATGGTGTAAAATACAATTTTTTTTGGCTGAGTAACTTATTTAGATTTTTATGGTCTAGATAAATGTCAAGACTTGATGCTAAAAAAAGAAAAAAAAAAAGAGTATTTTTTCTGTAATGTAGTGAGGACCTCATCTTCAGCATGGAAAGCTTCATGGTATTAGAAAACACGTCAATGATCAAAAAAGTCACACAGACTACAGCAACACAGTCGGCTACAGCGACCAGGATACGACTAGACATACCAACATACCTCAGAGGAGCAACACGGCAGAGAAAAAGCAAAAACAAACACTATCCAACCCAGGAAAAATCCAAAAAGAAACAAAATAAGCAAGGGAAGGGCAGCGGGAGTGTGCAACTGTGAAGGGAAAGAGAACTGTGAGTGCTCAGGTGACTGAAACTCTACATGTGGAGGTTTCTCCAACATGCACAGACACAGGAACAGGACACACAGCGGAAGCACAGATACTGACCGATTCACTCTCATAGTAACTGTCCCAGTGCAGTTGGCGGGTTGTCTTTGTCATCTGGAAATGTTTAGACAGAGTTTACAGGGGGCGATGTTACGGTTAGACAGTAGGCATTCCAAGGACAATTAAACATGTACACAGATTTATGCACAACTATCAGCAAATGAAGGACATGGTGTTAAGATGCAAGCAATGGCTCATCTATATGTTGTTTACATACAGACAGACACACATCAAACACTCCCAGTCAGACATTCAAAAGCATGTAGATGCTGATGAGAAGGATGCATTTACAGAAAAAGCATTTACAGACACTAATCAATATCAAGTCAGTGAAACAGAATCAAAAGTTGCAATAAAAACTGAAGATCAGTAACACACATTTAGGGTGGAGTCAAATAAAATGGGCCACTTTTTGGTTAATAATTTATAAGACTATAAAATATGCTATGGATAAAATTTAATGATGATTTTATAAGCTACCATGAGTCTCTCAAGTATTTACTTGTTTAAAATATGGAAAAAATATAATGGTTTTAGAATTATAAGAGTGTCAGCAGGTGGCCTTGAGCTGCGACTCAATTTCAACTTCTTTATTTGAGAGAGTGTCAAAACATTGTGTAGAAACATTTTTCTTTGTTGGTAATCTTACTAGTGATGAGTGAAACTTTTTCATCAATTAAAGTTTTCCTTGCAATTTCCAACTTCTGTTCAACATAACTCTAATGGAACTAGGAAAAATAAAATTAAGGATGTGTTCCTCATGGCAGTTGATGGATTTCATAGTTCAAGCATCTAAAATAGTTTCAAGACTGTAAAAAAGTTTGAATCCAAATTAAG